GGATAGTTACCGTAACCTAAATAAAATGATGTTGACCTTAACAGTGGTTTTGTGTACAATTAACTCACCAGCATAAGTGTTGTAACCGTATGGTACCATGGCTCCCTTGTCATAATAGTTATTCATCATATATGCGCCATGTTTTGCCGACAACGCCTTCTCCTCCTCTTTCTAGAAAAAAAAGCAAAAAATAACATGTGTGATCAGGGAATCGTATGTTCAACAACGGGTTCGCCAGCTTCTGCTTGCGTTAATTTTTTTTACAACGTTGCGTATGATGGGAAACTGGTGTTCTGCACTTGAAAAGGTTCCATGTTTTCAATGCTTTCGAGCTTAGGCGAATGCCTACCGGTTCGTGGACGCTTTTGTAGAGATCCACTTCTATTTTTCAAAAGCTGTTCTTTTTTTATTTCTCTTGTTTCAAACATGTGCACTGCTTCGGGAAGAGTTTGACTTGAACATAAAGATTATGGTGAGACAAACTTGATTGCAAGATTCTCACAACCTTTTGAAGGAGCCATCCACTACTATTCTCTTCGCATAGAAAGTTGAAAATAGAAAATGGAGAAGAGCCATTTACTCGCTTTTTCAACGTATACGGGTTATTAAGAGTGAAATTTTCTAAGCAAAGCGAATCAGATTTGGAGGATGTCGCAACATCCTTCAGAAAGCAATCGTCTCAAAAACCATATGATATGTTGAAGTCCGTAGTTATAGCTAAATCCCTCGCCTATACATCCTTCTGCAACCATTAATCATTTCGGTCATCACACGCTACATTCCCTCCATCACTTTGCCTCATACACGTTGCGTGTAGATAAACAATAACGTCAAAGCGGTCATCATGTTTGCAGTCGTAACGGTTGATTCGATGCGTTCGATCAGAGCCTTTGCCCAACACTCGTTCGCCGCGTTCCCATCTTCATCGGGCGTTTTCCTCCGCCGTCCCTCCATTCTCCCTAAACGCGACATCAAACATGGGATCGGCACTCAGCGAGCGTAATACGTCGTTCTGCGAGCCTATACCAAACATGGACTACCCATTCAGGTCGTGGTTATTTCGTGGCTGTTCCGTTATGGGCGTGGTTGACGTTTACAAAAAGTGAATTGGTCGAGCAAGCCGGGTTTCGACGCTCGCCCTCAGTGATTTTCTGTCCTAGACCAGGTGTTTCTCTATGAAGGCCCATTCGTGCTGACGGAAGTTCAAGACAAACGAGGTCGGAGTTCTGATCGATGTGTTTTTGACTATAGCGACTTGAAGCAGTCATGGACGAACGCAAGAAAGTGAGAAAGACGACAAGGTGACAAGCACTAACTAGTATGGCAGCAGCAAGGTCGATGTCATTCACTGATTTGCTATCGTAAGAGACAAGTCATAGTGCATATCGCACACTAATATGACGGCATCGCCAGACAGCAAGTACAACCCAAGA